ACAGACAGACAGACAGACAGACAGACAGACAGACAGACAGACAGACAGACAGACAGACACGCAGACAGAGAGACACACAGACAGAATTCAAGACACGGGGCATTGGCTTGGGAGCTGATGTAACATAAGACTTAAATCAGTACCGTTACATTTTCCCCGCAGATATTGCAGATTCTGGTACCATGTCGTGAACGCCATGTCATCACAGGAACACGTGAGAGTGTAGGGCAGGTACAGATCGTTTAGTTTGTTCAGTGTCAACAGAGCCGGGGGTAAACGGACTAGGTGTGTGTTGCTCAGGTATAAATAGCTCAACTCATGGAGGTTGCTGAAGGCGTCGTCTGCGATTGTTTTGATTGGGTTTCTTGATAAATACATGAGCGCTAATTTCGAAATGTTGTTTGAAAATTGTAGTGAGGGAATTACTTCTATGTCGTTGTCTGAGATGTGGAGATACGCCAGCGAGGTCGGGAACTCAAAGTCTGCCATTGATTTGATTTTATTATTTCTCAGCTCTAGATAGTACAGATTGGGCAATTTTGATATAGATTCTGGAATAGTCGTCATTACGTTTCCCTCTAGATCAAGGTTTGTCAGTGACGTAGGGAGTAAACCCGAAGATGGGGTTGAAATATTGTTGTAGTGCAGATATAAATATCTCAATTCAGACATAAATAACAGGTCGGGTATTTGAGTAAGGCAGTTGTAGGAGAGATCTAGGTGCTTCAAAGAGTTTTCGTTGGGTATTAGGGCGTAAGGTATGTGCTTGTGGTCACAGATTCTGTTATGAGGTATATAGAGACGCTCAATACCTGTCAAATAAAACAGAGGGCCGATATTGTCGATGTGATTGTAGTCCAGGCATAACTCTGACAAATTACGACGGACTTTTAAATCTTTCAGGTTGTTGAGATCGCTTATTGAATTGAACCTCAAATCGAGGCGGGTCAAATCCGGGAAAAGCGCAACCACCTTCAGTGGGATTTCCGTTAGGTTGGGGTGTCGGTATACCAGATTTTTAATGTGACTGGCTGATGGGTCCAGTGGCTTACTACTCAGCTGTCCAAAAGTAACATTATCTATGTCAAGGGTCTCCAACTTTGGCAGTAACTTAAGCCAGTCTGGTGGAAAGATTGACATCGTCTGTTTTGACAGACGTAGTTTTCAACGATGCTCCAATGCTCGCCAAAATGGTTGTGTTCCATAATGTGAGGACAGGACTATTGTCCCAACGCAAGTACTGGAGAGAACTGAGGTCAATCAAGGCCCACGGTAAGGAGGTCAGATTACTGGACCAGAATGCGAGTGTCTGAAGACTTTTGGCAGAATAAATGAAGGCGTGATCTGCGATTGTGGTCAGGGAATCTTCTCGGAAATATATATCTTGTAAATTGTGAGCAAGATTCCAGTCATAAATGACTGATATGTGATTGCCCTGAAAAGATAGAATCGTATAATGAATTAT